TTGCTTTATATTATCCGCATCTCCATAAGGAAATAAAACATGTTGAGGTTTCTTATCTCTCAGCATATTTATTACCTCATTGACAGTCAGTTAATCTAATGTCGATTGGAAGATATGTAGGCTTTATTTGTAATCATTCAAAGGCAGACATTGCTTCTATGTAATCATAACCCGATCCTTTTAAAAAATTTCCTTTAATTAGTTGCACGATAAAAGTAAATGATAATTAAGATGTAATAGCTTGCTACACAAACCTATAAATATTATTGAATTATTTGCATTATTCCCCCATTTTCTAATGAAATTTGTCGCAGCACCACTACGTAATGAAGGATGCCCAGCAAAGACCACACATGGCTCCTGGTATTTTTCTTGAAGTGTGCTATCAGCCCTAGATGCATAATATAACGTCATCTGTTCAATCATGTCTTGATGAGGCATCGGATTGTCTGGTAGATACATTTTTTGTTGCCTCTCTGTACACATCCTTATGACAAAAAATAATCATGGCTTGTTAGCATAAAGGCGATAAAATATACCATGTTTAAATTAATTAACAAGTACTAACCATTCCCCACAAATATTAGAATATTTTAGTGATTCTTCTGCTATGGGTGATACTGCATAGAACGGAATACCACGTAATCCCATAGCTTTCAAATGTTTATCCAAAAAATCCATTATATCAAAAATAATTCCATTCATTGTACAAGGAAATAAAACGTTTCCTTTGCTTTTTAAAGTATTTGCTGATCAAATGTAACAAAATTAGTTTTATTTTTTTTTTTAGTATATAAAAATATTATGCATCAGAGAATCGTACCAACTAATTGTCCAATTTCCATAAGAATGTTTTCAAATCTAGCGCTATCCTCATCACGCAAATCACTAAGGATGACAACGTCAACTTCATTAAATATTGCCTCATCGAAAGGTAAAGGATGTATCGGTATCGTGGAAGATGACGATATTATGGCAATCTAAATCGAGAGAGAGAATATTAGATTTCATTTTCTTGACTTTTAAATTAAATGTTATAAACAGTATTCTACCTTTTCTCCACCACAATCAATCATCCAATTAGCGGCACCAAGACAATATCCTGAACTAAAAGCAGTAACTTCAAGTTCGTATAAGTTCTACCGAGTATGTCAGAGAGTACCTTAAAATAAATAATATTAATATAATGAAAAATATTGATAAAACCTACCAAATGCTCTCCAAATCTTACGGGTCTCACTTTATCAATACATGATTGAATGTCCGCTATTGAATATAAAGATCGTGCAACATTCCAATCCGCGGTAACACCCGTGAAAATATTCGTAGATCCAGGTTGTGAATGAGTTCGACTTAGAAGCGCACTATCACCAAAGAAATGTACCAATTCTTTCATCATCTGTCTAAAAGAATAAAGCTATAAATTAATAATAATTCAGATTATATGCATGATATTGAAGATTAAATATACATGATACCGTGCAAATAGAACAGTTGGTTCTGTGGCGTAAATCTTTCCTTTGAATTCCGTATATTCAGTAATATAAGGTAAAGCCAGCATATGGTTGTAATTAGTAATAAATATGAAATCTATATTATTCCAATCGATGCTACTAAATTCCGGCGTTTCCACTAAAAATCGTCCACGTCGACGAACTCCACTGCCAGAACTTCCACTACCATCACCGATTGAATCTATCAAATGATCCAATTTACGACGTTTCCTGTCGTGTTCCTTATTTTCTGAAGGAGCATTGGACGGAGTGGCATCATTGGAGGAAGATGTAAGGTCTGGATGATCTAACACGATAGAAGGATCCTCAACAGAAGTCGATACATGTTGAACTTTTGAACCAATAATATCACGAGGGGGTAATTCTAAAAAGTAAGAAGTATCCAAGCCACAATCGATTAAAAAATTCATCTGCATTAATTTGATTAAGAAACAGTTTTTTCTTAAATTACGACTTAATGGATGCTATTAAATAAAAAAGATTTTGAGTTGAGGAAACTTAAATTCAAACTTTCTAAAAATTTTAATACCTACTAGCTTCATTTTAATAATTTTAATAATGATAATGTTTAAAAAAAAAAAAAAAAAAAAAAAAAATTAAAAAATTTTAAAAAAAAAACATTGGAAGATAATCGGGGGGGGGGGGGTATTTAAATAATAAAATTTGTGAAAATGATTTTCCATGCATAACCGGCTCGGGCACGTGTTGGGTATCAAAAAAAAAATTTTCATTGAAATTTACTAATACTGTTCCTAAATCTAACCAAATATCAATATGTTGTTGATAGGAATATATCACTTATAATTTGATCTAGTAAATTTTCCAGTCCATTAGTATTAAGTAATGATTTTATAATAAATCTTTTACCATCTGGAACTCCGTTAGAAATTTGAAATAAACTAAAAATATTACTTGATGAAAATAAGTCATTATTAATGGAATATGAATTATACTGTATATAGAAAATTATATAATATAAATTACTATATACAGTCGACCCCCTCTATAATCACACCCCTCAGAACCATGAAATGGTGTAATTATATGAAGGTATGCTTATACTAAGGGATTTATTATTAAAATTACTTATATGTAAAAACATATTGATATGATTATATATAAAATTTTGTATTAATTAATTTTATAATAAATTATGTAATATTTTAAAATTTTGTTAAAAATTT